TATGCCTACCTTTCTGGGTGCCTAACCCAATGGCAGATAAGGAAAAACTCTAACCACATGGAGGGTTTTCCAGGGCCATTGCACCCTGAAACCTCTCTGAAGGGGCCAGGTTCTAGCTCATGGTCCCTGGTAGGTCTGAACTCCATAGCTAATGTCCCGGTCTAATATAACATACACTGGCCCGATAAGCTCCAGGGAGCCGAAGGGGCTTCCCTCAGAAAATATTGTATGTGACATACAACTGCCACCCCATGGGGCGGCAGTTGCTGCGAATATTATGTTTCACAATTATTTTGATGTTTCTCATTCATTTCTTCTCTGGTTTTTTTACTGTAATATTATTCAAAAGTGTGTAACTTGTGGAATTTATAGCTCAATGTGACGAACATTGCTATGCTCAAAATTATGGGGTTCATATATGTGACAAATATATTATATCCTATGCTCAATCAAACGGTGTTTTTGCTCTTATTACACTATATACACACACACACACACACACACTGTATATACACACACTACATATGTGTTCACCATAACGAACCACTAAGTTGGTATGATGAGCCAAAAAAACAAGAGTGAGCTGCCACACCCAGCCAGCTGTCCCTCACTCCATCAAAACTTAACTCTCCAACATTACTCCTCCCACAATACTGTTTGTGGTTTTAATACACTATATACACACATTGTATATATGTATCTACATGTTTTATTCACCATAACTGCACAACTAAGCTGGTAAGGTGTCCAAACAACATAGTGGCAACAAAACACTTCATGACAAGTCACACAGCATCCAGCAGACAACGTTGCCTCCCTCTCTAACTCCTCACCACGATTACTCCTCCCATAATACTACGCACATCTTTAATTCTCACCACAATCCTGCTATTATCAAAATCCTGGTCACTAAATCCTGTAAATAAATAATTTTCCACAAGTTTATTTTGTAAATGGGACATGAGAAGTCATTTGAAGATTCTTAGATGGACAAAATTATGGCAGTGTGCTGTTGCAAGTGTTGTGAACATCTTGAACAGCATTGATTCACTGATATCTGAACATTAAACAAAGTCTTTATCACAGTCAGGCTCTTCTGTAATACTATCATGGCTAAATAATACCAGTTACATATATATTTTGACAATTTTTGGCGATGCTGTGGTCACAAGCTGAACAGCTGCATGTGCCAGCCTTGGTTGCTCACTTAGTACTAAGGCTCTTACACCTGAGAATGTTGCCCACAATTAAAAAAAAATGGCATCTGTTTACAAGATCCCTGAGGAAGCTGATGTGAACCCTGTACAGCCACGGGAGTTTTGAATGCTATGCTATACCTATGAGAGTCGCAAGGCTCGTTGCGCACCACCCACTGAGAGCCTCAATGAGTGTTGCGCAGTGCAGTGGTTAATGATACGGGTCTATAAGTGTTCCAACCAACAAGGTTCCCTGCATGTGACTGAAGAATTCCCAGTGCTTATTACTAGGCTATACCAACTCTGGAGCTAAGAAATAATTGTATTTACTAACCCATTTAGTAGTATAACTAGTATTTGTAATATATTACCATTATCCATCCTTGATGTGATAGGCTACGTACATATACTCCCCAAATTTGTGAATCGGATAACACCCAGCAAGACAAATTAATAAAATACAGTCCACTTTACAAATACAGTGGTACCTCGGAATATGAGTGTTCCTGTATACGAATTTTTCAGAATACGAGCAGGATTTGCTCAGAAAATTTGCATCGGAATACGAGGGTTGCTTGGAAGACGAGGGTGTTGATACGCGTACAGGCTGACTAGCGCGTGGTGGCATGGCGATCGCACCTCAGTTTACTAGTGCCTCGCGCCCAGTGACTATCCCGCCTGAATTTTTCACAAGGATTCACAATTTTTTTGTCGGATTTTTGGCCATTTGAGCATAAAAGTTGTTATTATATATCTCACCATGAGTCCCAAGAAAGCCAGTGGCAAGGTTCAACCTAAGAAAATAGTTGTGAGTAGAGGCAGTAGAGGATGTCCCTTCTTCATTAGCCACTTAACTGCGCCAACTGAGTATTCTCGGTTGGCAGGAAACTGCGCCAACCGAGAAAACTCTTTTTGATTTTTCGGCACCAATTCTAAATGTGTATGAGGTTGGTTGTGTACGAAATGGACTCTTAGGACCTCCATTCAGAGGCAGCCATCTTGGAAAAAATTCCCAGAATGCCCTAGGGCTGCTGGCTGGGTTAGAATTGAATGAGCAACCATGGGTGGCGCACACACCTCTGGCTCCCAAACACCTGTCCGACGCGGTGTTGAAAGATAATGCGCTGTCGGTGAAATTCAAACCTTATTGTTTGAAGAACATAAGGGTCATAATATTGATGAAGCTAGGTGCAATAAGGACCTAACACAAAGGTCGGATGCAAGTGATACAGCACCTATGAGGACGATACAGGATACAGCAAGCGTATCCAGTTGTAGCTCTGAGCGTCACCCTTGCAATCCTATGCTATCTACAATTTATTTAGATGATACATACTGTAGATTAATCATTTTCTGTGTTCAGTGATGATGCATCTGATACAAACAGCATAGATGAACAGTGTTAGCGGCTTCCATGGTGGTGTTTTCCATAGATATTTTCAAGAATACCTGAATCTCTTCCTAACTGACGGACACTCTATGAGGCTAGCTGAATTTCTTTCTGACTGACGGACACTCTTGAGGTAAGCTGAATCTCTTCCTGTGTGGGACCATACAAAGCGATCATTTCAAGACTTAACTTACAAATTGATCTTTTCCTATAATCTTTTCAATACTACCTTATGCTTTACAAGCTTGGCTACATACAACCTACAAGTACTAAAGTCAAGGGTGTATGTGAGTGCGTTATTTGCAAGCACACAGAATGAAGAAACAGGAAGCGAATATTTATCTGTATCTGGTGCACTGTGAGCGAAGTCGCGCTGTGTATCATGGACTATTTCACTGATTATTACTCACTTCTGAAGTACTGAGTGTGTAATACAGTGTGTTACTGTGTAAATAGTGTGTGAAACTGTACATATTGTAATTTTAGTGAAATTTTAACAGGTAATATTGCAACAATAAACATTTATTGTGGACACATTACTGACACATGTATCACAGTTCCATGGAACATTATGAACGTTCTACTGTATACATATTGTAAAGGACACAAATATGCATCATATACGCTAAAACAAACAAATAAAATTGCATTGGAAATACATAAAACAAATAATTGAAAATATATTTGTGGCAACACCCGGTGCTTGAATGGCCTGCGCGACCGTGTCTGGGCGATTCACGCACGGGCGACCAGGTCCTGATAACGTCATAGCATACCTTGTGCACGTCCCCACAGCCAACGTAAGTGGAATTTGGTATTTACTTTTACATAGACATGTTCAGGGAAGGGAATTTATCATTTTACGAAGAAAAAAAAATTTGGGGGGAACATTTTATTTCATACGCACCGGGGGAATTTCACAAAAAACTCCACGCAGCACGGTGGTTAAGAAAATGTGTGAAGTATGGGAAGAACTGCAAAGTTTTGTTGAAAAAACTCACCCAGATAAAGCTATAGCAGGCCATTGCATTGACCTTTTAAATGACAATGTGATGTCTTACTACAGACAAGTGTTAAAATGTAGGGAAAAACAAGTATCATTAGACAGATTCTTAGTAAGACAAGCAAGTCCTAGTGGTATGCAGGCAAAATGTGCCAGAGAGTGCACACCAGTGAAGTCCTCACTGCCTGATGTTATAATGGAAGGGGACTTCCCCTTCCAAACAGTAACATCTCTCCCCCTCCTCACCATCTTCCATACGCCAACAACAGTCATCAGCATGGGTAAGTAAAAACTTGAACATACTTTTGTAGTGCAGATTTAGATTAATTAGGTATAAAATTTAGTTTGAAGTAAGGTTTTTGGGAAGTCAGAAATGGATTAATTCATTTCCCATTATTTCTTATGGGGAAATTAGCTTCGGTTACGAGTTTTTGGATTACGAGCTGTCTCCAGGAATGGATTACTCTTAAACCGAGGTACCCCTGTATACAGTCTGTTTTAATTAATTATATTAAATTATATTACTATTAATAATTTAACAGTACACAAGTAAATTCCTGCTGGGAAAATTCCCACAGGGCGAATAAGCATTCGCTACTTTTATAACATTTTGATCTTTTGTTTACAAAGTTTGAGGAGTTCTATGGGCATTTTCAAGTTAGCAGGTCTTGGAGGCAGCTAACTGTGGTTTTCTTGGACTTGCTGACTTTCTGAGGTGCTTTTCTTGGAGGTGGCATAAATGAATAACAATATATAAATGCCACTGCTCCCTGCACCTCTTTGAGGGGACCACGTTCAGACTCTGGGTCTCTGGAAGGCCAAGGAACTTCCCAAGTGGTGGCACCTAGTAGATGCTACCTACATCAGAGACGGTAGTTTCAGGGAGCCACTGAGGCTCACCCAGAAATTGGCATTTCATTACATTCAACATTTTTTGTTTGTTTTTTACTGTGGGGGTAAGGGTTGCCAGGGGTCTAACAGGTGAAACCAAATCACTCAATGACTTGGCTTTGCCCCATATACAGTAGTTCCTTCAAGCAAGTTCACATGCTATTTAATATTATGAAACCAAACGCATGCTCATATTCAGCTGATACATGCAAAAGTATAAAACACTTAAATCCTTGGGATGGGTTTGGGCAAGATAGAGCATTCATGCGAAGTTCAATGTTTGTGACACCACCTTATTATAGTGTTTATCATTATATCTTGACCTACACTTTTATTACACTATTTTCACTTTCAATAATTTATTCACAGCTGTGCTACCAAAGACTGCGAACATATGCTATATGCCAAAAATTATGCAGTAAGTCAATTTTAAGTTCAAAGTGACTGAGGACTACATGTAGGTTGAGGACCCCTGATCTCGTGATACATTTGCTACTGATACACTAAGATTCATATTTACCATGGTCTCGTGCACAACTTCTGAGATGAGTGCTGTGTTGGCTGTGATACTGTGTTGAGTGAGAGCACCACACAGGACAGAACATATCCGGTGCAACTGGCACAAACTCTCCGTTACCAAGAGATGTCCACACAACTCCAGAAGACTGCCTTTGCCCAACACACACACCCAGTAGAGGTCATCACGGAACACATACACATAGTTCTGCCCATCTTTGGTCTGCAATGAGCCAAATGCCTTTAATAAATTATGTGATGAGTTACCAGAAGCACAACATTGCTCAAGCAGATTGCTCAGGATTAGCACTACTGTGCAAGTATTCTTATTTCAACAGAAAACTATGAGTAATTAAAATAACAGCACCAAATTGATAATATAATATTGTAGTAAATAGTTTCCTTAATTTTGTGTACTTCTACTATCTTGCAGGACTTAAATCATAACAACATAACTTATTTTCATTATTGTACTATTGATTTCAAAGAGTACATTTGTAATGTGAATATACCAAGGCAACAAGAGCAAGTACAGTACTTTATATTACTGACATAATATACTTACTACACAACTCCCCCCACCCTCTCCCAGGGGATTAAAGAAGAGAATTAAAACAGAAAAATGAGACAATTGTGCCCTGGGTCACTGTGGAGCATGTAGATCCAGTACCAAAAGAAACAGGCAGCGTGTGGACGAGCTCGATGTAACTAGAGAGAAGAATGTACACAGTTGTTGTGCCCTGGGTCGCTGGTGGAGTCTGTAGAACCGGGGCGGATGGGCTCGGGCATGAGGACCATAAGAAGGAATGTAGGCAGGTAATCAGGACAACGAGGGAATTACTGTTAAAGCTAAATTGTCCTGGCAGCGGCGAAGAATCAAAAACGCAAGCTGTAGATCCTGTACTGCGCAAGTGAAGTGTTTGAGTCGGTGGCAGAGTAGCAGAATGCAGTGAACGTGGTAAATGTATCAGATGAAGGAGAAGCTGTTATATGGGAGTCCCTGTAGGGCCAGCAGTGCCCTGGCAGTGACAGAGAGTTGGCAAGACAGGCTGTAGATTTTTTTGTGATGTATAGTTAATGATGAGGTTGTTGGATGAGTAAGCGATGACTGTGGTGCAGCAAGATGTAGTAGATGAACAAGATGAGCAGCAGCAGAACAGCAGATGAGCTAGACAGGCTGCCAGCAGCCTGACAACCTGTCTAGCCTGTCAACATCCTGACAGCCTATCTAGACTGTCAGCATCCTGACAGCCTGTCTTCCTGAAAGAGCTGGGAGGGGGGAGGATGGGGGCATGGCACGGTGAGGGAGGGGGAGGATTAAGTGATGACAAGTGTTTGGGGTGGTGATGGGTGGAGGGAGGGCATAGGTAGGGGTGGGATTATGGAGGTATGGGTAGGGAGAGTGTCACCAGCCTGCCTGTGTGCCCACATGCCTGACTGCCTGCCTGCATGCCTACCTACCTACCCATCCAAATCTGCCTGCCCACCCACTGAAACCTGCTTGCCTGCCCTCCAAAACCTGCCTGCCCACCCATCCATCTGTTCACTCACCTGTCAACCCATCTGCCTGCCCACCCATCTACCTACCTGGCTGACCACTCACCTGCCAACCATCACGTCCATCTGCCTGCCATCCATCCATCCAGCCCACTTTCCTGCCAGCCATCCAACCTGCCTGCTCACCCACCTGCTTGCCCTGCCCACCTACCACCCAGGCAGCTAACCAACCAGCTAACCATCCACCCAGCCCCACACACTAATTATAGTCTGTGTGGAAATTCAAATTACTTTGGTTGTGGTATAAAAAGATTGTGAATATTAATTTTTGTATTTCCCCGGTAAAACATCGGCTAATCCGGATGTCGGGCTTACTGGATGGGGGGTCCTTCCCATATGGTCTGGATAATCAAGTTCATACAGTAATGAGTGTACACTCAACATCCTCTCTTCAGTACACCTCGGGCCAAATTGCAATTGGATATGTAGTCCTGTCTTGATAGTCAAATCCTCCCTCCCCCCCCAACCCCCGCATGAAAAATAATAACTATGTACAAAATTATATATCATACATTATTGTTTCACTAGATATTTTAACCACTGCATTGCACAGAGTGCCTTAACACTTTCGTCCGGTGACAACTCAGCATTGAGTCCTCCACAAAATAGGGGCAAGTTCGGTGAGGACTCAGCATTAAGTCCTAAGTGCGGCAACAGTAGTGTTTTTTCAGGAAGGTCTTGCTGCGGTTTTGGACATTATATGCATATACTCTTGTAGGGAATTTCATTGTGAATACATTGATACCAAAATTAAAGTCCTAGGACCAGAATTGAGGTAACAAAGTTGAAAACAGAATACCCATTTTATTGCTCTTTATTAGGGCTCACGGGGGGTAACGCTTTGTCACTTTCCCTGCGTGTTGTGGATGGTACACCGGGCTTTTGAACTTTATATTTGCATACTCCTGTAGGGAATTCTATTGCAAAGACAATGACACCAAAATGAAAGACTTAAGATGAGAATTTTGATGTCCAAAGTGAAGAGAGTGTACACATTTTATTGCTCTGGCTCGCTCCCGGGTAATACACTCTCACTTTCTCACCAGGCTTTTGGGCTTTATATGCATTTAATCCTGTAGAGAATTCTATTGCGAACACATTGATACCAAATTGAAAACCCTAGGATGAGAATTGAGATGACAAAGTTGAAAAGAATATTCACTTTTCATAGTGAGAAGCGCCTTGGGGTGGCGCAGTGCTCTCTTTCTTGTAACCGCGGCCTGTTTTCATCATGTCGGCAGGTGGAGATCGCTGCCGTTTTTTATATTATATGCATATAGGCCTGTTGGGAATTCAATTGCGAACACATTGATACCAAAATGAAAGACCTAGGACGAGAATTGAGATGACAAAACTGAAAAGAGTGTAAACATTCTATCACTCTTGTGCGCTCCCGGGTAACTTTCTCTCACTTTCTCTGTTAGTTGCGGATGGTAAGCCAGGCTTTTGGAGTTTATATGCAATTTGTCCTGTAGAGAATTCTACTGCGAACATATTGATACCGAATTGAATATCTTAGGACAAGAATTGAGCTGACAAAGTTGAAAAGATTATACACTTTTCAGAATTTACCGTGCTCTCCCTCGCGCTCCTGCAGAACGCCCAAGCCCACCTGAGGTAGTGGGGAGGTCCCGGGCCCGGTGCATCAAAGTGTTAAGGTGCCTATTCAGAGTTGTGACCAAGAGAGAGTGACCAAGGCTGGCACATGCAGGAGCAGCTTACACCAAAGCTGTGCAGCTAGGGAGGGGGGGGGGCCACACTACCACTTAGTAATGATGAATAAAATAGGTAACATAAATTCTTTTGCATTGATAGTGTCATAGATGATCCTGACTGTGATAAAGACTCTGTACAACATTCAGATATCAGTGAACACAATGTTAGTTATTGTGTTAACTAACACAATATAGTAAACACTTTTATTAGATGAAATATTTTTTTTTTTTTTTTTTGGCACCTGTGGGTGTTGAGGGTCAAATAGCCCAGAGCAGCTTAGGGTTTAACTGCTTTATTTAGATTTGGCCAAATCTAAAACAGGAACACTGGAGGTCTTCATTGGGTGATCTCTATAGACAGAATGACAAACACAGCACCAGCAATGTGGCTGGCGGGCTCCTGTCTTTGTTTCCTAAACAGAGGAGGCATAAACCAGGTTAGTATAACTGGTCAGTCATAGATCAGCTTCCATGTCCAATAGGAATGGTGGAAATTTCCCAAACAGATAAAGAATCTTACAAAAGCTGGGAAAGTGTGTATGACCTCACACTTGATCAGTGGTGACCTCACCTCTATTTTCCTGGTGGTCCCAAGGAAGAGATAAGTGACCTCACCACTACCAACTCTCTCTGTGCACTAGCACCAAACTCCTCATGCTTTGCCTCAATGCTGAATAATGTATATTCATGTGCTGATCTTCTGATCACTGTAGCATCCTTCACAAATGATGTATAATGGACATTGCATCATTGGGCTGCTCATGTCATGCTCTAACAATGACAGCAAACACAACCATTCTAGCTGCACAGAAAAGCAGTTATGGACTGTGCACATGAGTACACAAGGTGATGAAATCCACTCATTTGCCCTCGGTGTGCACAACCCAATGCACTCAAGGCAATGTGAATCCCTCATCTCTCACTGCTATGTTTACATTAACCTTGTTGTTGTCTGTTTTTTCTCACTCTACCTTTCTGTTTGCTATTTTTTCAAAGTGATCTATAATCCTCTACTTCCTGTGAGTGGACCAGATTTTGCCCTCTAGTCTCTGGTAGCCTTTTAATTAATGACTCACACGGGCCGTGTGCAATTCGGTATGCATGGAGCTAGCCTGAGTGGCTAGCTCCATGCGAATGACACCGTATCCACATGGTGGAACAGGATACCACCGATTGAGTGATCCCAGAAAATCATTTTCAACAACAAAAGTTATCCTAAGGAGGAAAAATTATATACAGTAGTAGTATACTTTACTTAACATTATCCACATAATACCATAATATGAACTCGACAGACAATGACCACATTAAGCAGGCACTCTCATCTGAATGTGGACAATACAGGCAAAGACCACACTATGTATACCTTCTCAACACTTACAAAAGCAGGAGGTGGATCCCCATGGGGCGAAGATGAGAGTTCCGTCAAAAAGGGATGAAAGATGGCCTTTGTCAGTTTGGGTTCAACTAATTAATGAGTTAAGGATATGTGCTATTATAGAGGAATTATATCTACTTAAACAAAATTCAAGCAATTACACTGAGTTTGAGAGAAACATATCATTACACTACACTACATAGAAAATTTGACTATAAATGCCTCACAGGTGGGCATGACATTAAGTCATATGAAATATTAATTTAAATAAATATATTAGACTTCACTACATACAGTCTGACCTCATTATTTGTCACACCAAAGAAAATATTAAATAGATCATATTGTTTATTTTATTATTTTGTGCATTTCATAACCCATTTATTTTATTATGTCCAGAAGAATACCATATAAAACCAGCGTTGAATGTAATGAAACGCCATTTTCTGGGTGAGACCCGGAGGCTCCCCGGAGCTTTACCGGCTGATATGCTAATGTCAGACTTTGGCATCAGTCATGTGTATGGAGTTCTAGGGCCTACCGGGGACCACGAGCCAGAACCTGGCCCCCTCAGAGAGGCAAGGGGAGCAATGGCCTATAGAAACCCCCGTGTGGTTGGAAGCATTCTATGTCTGCCATCGACCGGGTCAAGCATCCAGAAAGGTAAGCATTCCAAAACAAACCCCTATTCTGGTGAAAATTGCTACCTAAGCCGAACTAGTGGATAGAACTCTTCAACAGAAAACAAGGAAACTAGTATGACGTCATACGTCACCGCGCCGCTGTCTGCGCTACTCCCCCCTCCCCGGGAGGGGGAAGGGGGAGCCCCAGACCTCCCACGCCGGCTATCCACCCATCAGTTCTGAGGCTGAATGTCAAAACACGCGAAAAACGCCGACCGGAGGGAGAGAGGGTTGCCGGGGAGCCTCCGGGTCTCACCCAGAAAATGGCGTTTTATTACATTCAACGCTGGTTTTCTGGGGGGAGCCCCGTCGGCTCCCCGGAGCTAACTACCCACAGAGGAAGGTCAAAGGGACAAAACCGGGAGGCGGACACCACGCACCCCCCAAGGAGGCGAGACAACCGGCAGCAAACGCCAACCCAAGGCGCCACAGCCCCGAAAATCCAGGGAACAACACGAGAACCACGAGCAGCAAGGCCCCTGCACGAACACCAAAAATCCATGCCCGAAAGACTGCAAGGCCACGTCGCCCAGACGGCAGCGAGAGCAGCGAAGCCACGAACGCCACAGGCATGAGGGAAGAACACATGCAGCTTAGCCGCAAGAACACGGCTGACCACCCGGGATACCATCACCCGCGAACCGGGAAGAACAGAACCGGATCAACGCAAAACGCGCTCCGGACCCAAACGCCGTGGCACGCAAACAACAGCGGAGGGCCGCCACTGAACACAAAAACGACACACCCCCGGCCCGACCAACGAAGCACCAACAAACCCTGGACCCCTCCAGAATGCAGCAGCTCCACCCCGCGCCAGAAAAGATGGAGACTGCTGCCATCAAACAACCAAAACGCTAAAACCGAAGGAGCAAGAAAACTCAGCGAACCGACCCCCAGAGGCAAAGGCCCAAAGGAAAGAGCCGACGAAAAAACACCGGAACCGAAGGGGCACTACCAACCGAGGAGAAGATAGAGCACGCTGACCAGAGACCAGGATGGTGCAAGCGGCGTACGAACAGGCCGGAGGTGAAACGACGCACAAGACAGCTGACTAACGGTGCAGAAGCAACACCAAGACCGAAAGCAAGCTGAAGCGGCTCCGCCTGCGCCGCACGAAAAGAGGCGACAGTATGTGGCAAGACGACGGCCCCCAACCCCCACTAGAAAACCAAGCCGAGAGTAAACCAAGCTAACAAGAGTAACCACCTAAGAAGGGACAGGAAAAGGAAGGACCGCCAAAATACCCATACTGCCGCCAAGAGAAGCACGCAGGTGGGACACCTACCACGAAGCCACCCGACAACCAACCGGAGGCGAGACCACGAGGCAGAACATAAGCAGCCCCGACAAGGACCCCCCCCGAGCCCAGGAAAAAGGCGGAGCCGCAAGAAGATCTCGGGCGCGACCACCGAAACCCAGGCAGCACAAGGAGACGGAACGTCTGCCGAACAGAAAAACTCCCCAAAGCATGCAAGCCCGCCAGGAGTTCAGAAACGACGGGTCCGACGCGAGACATCGCAAGAAACCCCCCCCCCCCAAAAAAAAAAAAAAACGGCAGTGCAAGCTAGGAAAACCAAAGAAGGCGGAAAGGTCGCCGCCAGAACAGGACCCGAACCAAGGGGCATGAACAACTGCAATAGACCGAGACAAAGAAGCACATCACAGGACACAGGCTGACCAATGCCTAAGAACACACGCAGAACATCCCTGCTGCAGAGGAGGCAGGAAGAAAGAGCAGAAGCACAAAAAAAAAAAAACAGGAGAACCAGGGGTGGACAATCTGGCAGGGACAAAAACCCCACGCAATCCCCAGGCACAAAACGGCAGCAAAGTGCCACTCCACAACCGGACACAGGAACAAGGACACGCCACCGTGAAACACGGTACCAATGCACACGTGCAGCAGCAGCAACAGGCACCACTGCAACATGCAACATGTAAATAGCAACTCCCCTCTGCAAAGGCAGAGAACGGAGCAGGCAGACCCCAGACAGGGCCAACGGAGACACGACAAAACCCTGCAGGCCCAGAAACCTGCACCAGGCGACCGACGGCGGAGAAACCCGGTCGATACCTGCTGGATGAGGTACTGGGAGCTCTTTTACACCTGAAGCCCGGCCCCAAGGTCAGGCCAGACCGGCCAGAGGATGGCCCACCAAGCAGCTGCTAGGAGCAGTCCACCGGCCCACATACCCCCACAACCAGGACGGGCCGGAACCGCCATACGAAAACAGGCCAGTGCGCCCTGGAAGTCCACGGACGAACCAGCAAGAAGGCTTATGCTCGCAAGTAGGTCGTGTAACAAGCACAGACCACTGATGGTAATACAGTGTTCCCCAAAAGTGCCAATAGCACCACTGCACTCCACTGGTACTATCCCGCAAGTTCTACCAGATAGGCGGGACCCAAGAGCCAGAGCTCAAATCCTGCAAGCACAGCCAGGAGCCTCACCAGGTGAGTACAGAACCAACCCTACAACCCCCACACCTCACAACATTAAAAAAGGAGGGTCCCCTGAATGACTCCAGCATGGGTTGGACATGCACATGAGGGGGACAGGAAGGGGTGATAAAGGGACAGTCACTGGTGTGCGAACGGTCTCAGTCGTACAAAAATATACCTAAATAAAGACAGGTATATAAACACCGCCGCATCCAGCGTCCAGCCAAAAGACGCCAGACCGCAGAAACTCACCTGGCGAATGGTGGCACGAACTTGACACGACTCAACCGTGCCCAGAAGAACTTGGGAGCACCGCCAGGTGAAGACGCCAGAGCCGGACCCTGCCGGACCCGCAGGAGAACAGGGAGAGGCGAAGGAGGCGGTCCACACCCATGACACAGGGAAAACCGCGGTGTCCTCCCCACAACTAGGAACCAGGACGCCCCCGGCGCGAAGGGGCACATACTGCAGCCAGGGAGAAGAACGAGAGGCGAAGCACTGTAGCAAAAAAGGGCGCAAAACCCCAGCACTGAAACACCGCCCAGACCAAAACAAACTCCACGGCGCATGCGCATAACACGCTGGCCGAACCGCACACCCTCCCTGTGGGAAAGCGCCAGCCAGGACTACTGCACGAGAAAAGTAGCCAAAAGAGGAAGCAGGAACAATAAAACCGGCCAAAGAAGCAAAGAGCCCAAAAAGGAACCCAACCGGGCGACAAGTAGTCCAACCGGGCGACAAGTAGCCCAACCGGGCGACAAGTAGCCCAACCGGGCGACAAGTAGCCCAACCGGGCGACAAGTAGCCCAACCGGGCGACAAGTAGCCCAACCGGGCGACAAGTAGCCCAACCGGGCGACAAGTAGCCCAACCGGGCGACAAGTAGCCCAACCGGGCGACAAGCAGCCCAACCGGGCGACAAGCAGCCCAACCGGGCGACAAGTAGCCCAACCGGGCGACAAGCAGCCCAACAGGGCGACAAGCAGCCCAACAGGGCGACAAGCAGCCCAACAGGGCGACAAGCAGCCCAACAGGGCAACAAGTAGCCCAACAGGGCGACAAGTAGCCCAACAGGGCGACAAGTAGCCCAACAGGGCGACAAGTAGCCCAACAGGGCGACAAGTACGAGGAGCCGACAGACGTTCCAAGAATGCGGGAAGTAGCGAAAAACCTTCCCGTACCCTCGAGAAAACAGAAGCCAACACTAGTCTCGAAGGCACACGAAGGCGCAGGCGCACCCGAGATCAGAAGTCACGCAGAACCCCATCGAACGGGGAAACATGACAAAAACACCGTCCCAAAAAGGGGGGGAGGAAACATCCACCCACAGGACGGAACCAACCGACTCAAAGGCTAAGGAACCGAGCCCGGGGAGGGGCCGACGTCTAACAGCACGTACGGCGAGTGGGGAGGAAAGACCCCACTCCGCGTAACCACAAGCCCCGCCTAGAGGGGGATAAAAAAAACCCCACGGGGTCTAACGGGGCCAAGGCCCCCCAAGTCAGCCCCTCCCCAGCCCCGGGAACCTACACGACAGGCCCCGGGGCTGAGCCATTCCCCCAAAGCCCCAGCCGTACCAGAAAACCGGGGCAGCCATGAAAACACTAAGGAAGGGAGCCCACTGGCAGACTCATACAACACGGCTGGAGGAACAGGCCCAAATGCCCCCGTCACTACCCCGGAAGGGGAATTCCCCGAGACTGCCCGAGTCTCAACACCACCAAAAACCCCGCCCCGAACCTACAGACGGTAAGGAACCGGATGCAGGCAGGAAGGGTGAACCAGGGGAAAGACAAGGGGGCGTGGATGGAACCGAAGCAACCAACACCCCCAAGTCCCAAAACGAACTACAACGGGGCAGCCCCGGGGCTCCCGGGGCGGAAACCACGAGAACGTTGCCACCACCAAGGCTCAAGTGCAACGCCCCAGCTGCCCGCACCCGCTTTGTTAGCACAACTGGGTAAC